AGACCAGTTGCCATCCAAGGCTATAGAACCCAGTCTGTCCTGCTATTTACCCATAGCTAGAGGGAGAAGAAGAGGATTCACATCTTTCCCAAGGGTATTAGCACGTAAGTGAATGTAATGGATTCGACTGGAATTTGAACTCGGCTCTCCGATTTCTCAATCCAAGCCACTATCATTTACTCCACCGTGCCTCCTTCAAAACTTACAGAGGGTCGTTTGGGGATCTTGTAGCACTTAGTGCACCAGGTCTCTGTATTCAGCCTTTCAAAAAAAGTGTGGATGGTCCTGCACGAAACCTTCACCACTATAATCAAATCTCATGTGCCGTTGTCGGGCTGTCGGTTTCCTAGGAACCGATCTATATATATATATCTGTTTTCTTTCTATTTTTTCTATTTTCTATTCACTAGGGACCTATATATTTTAGTTTATTGCTATTTTTCCTTTCTTTTTTCTCGTTGTTTTAGTAATAAATTTCAATTTTAGTCATTTTAGGTCCTTTTCAAACTTTGTCAGAATTCTAGAACGTATTTCCGCGTCCCTATTTGCTGTCAACCCTTGTACGAAGATGTCGTCTGTTATTTCGCTTAACTTGAACTTTACACATTTCCTGTTTACAATACGAGCAGAAGTGCTATAAGCTTCATATCCTTTTCTACAAATTTAGACACTGGCATTGAACAATGGATTTCGTTCACTGAAAAATTTACTTAACAATATAATAGTTTACTATTTACATTATTCGGACTATTGTCCTCATCTTTGTTGCCATATTTATTACAACGTTTCGGCCTTTCAGTATCTGTCTATATTTCTGAGATGAGTTATTATGTACCCTATTTACATTATTCGGACTATTGTCCTCATCTTTGTCGCCATATTTATCACAACGTTTCGGCCTTTCAGTATCTGTCTATATTTCTGAGATGAGGTATTATGTACACTATTTACATTATTCGGACTATTGTCCTCATCATTGTCACCATATTTATCACAACGTTTCGTCCTGTCAGTATCTGTCTATATTTCTGATATGAGGTATTATGTACACTATTTACATTATTCGGACTATTGCCCTCATCTTTGTCGCCATATTTATTACAACGTTTCGGCCATTTTACGCTCCGGCCTTCTTCAGGTGGTTGGAATGTCGAATTGAACCCTTTATTTCGCTCACTGGGGTACATTGTTCCAGTTCCACGTGCCATGTTTAATGGATGTCAGTTATTAGTTATCTCCTGTTAATTTCCATCTCCAAGTTCTCCACCGCCTTCGCCAGACATTGAACTCACACTCTTTGAGTCCTGTCACTAATCAATAGTTCGACACATAGCACAGTGGATAAAGGCGTTAGTTAGATCCAGTTATACAATCATTCATAACATTTCTGACGGGCCGTATTAAGAATTTACATATGCTTAATACGGCCCGTCAAAAATGTGTAAATTTCTTTTCATTTTTTGTTTCAACGTTTGGAAGTAAAGTCTGATGACCCGCAGTCCTTTTAAAAGGGCCGTGGTGAAATAATTTATTACATGGAACCTTAAAGTGGTCTGTTTTTATTTAAATTATTTGCTCTGGATTTACATTGAGCTCTCTGGATTTTATCCTCCTTGGGTCTATCCATACGGATTACCTAGTTTTTCATAAACTATATATATATATATATATATATATATATATATATATATATATATATATATAAACAAATGATCAGAGGTACAAAATCTGTATACTGTTTTTAAAAACAAGGAATTTATTAATGGTAATAGTCCCTAAGGCATTTTCGTCCAACATCTCATCAGGAGAAAATCGTTGGAAAAATTGATAAATTAAACGAAAAGAACAACAACGAAAAATGAAGAGCAAAAAAAGGGGAAAACCCGCTAAAATCAAAAGCATATAAGTATATATATATATACTTATAACGAGGGGAGGGGAAATCGCGTGTAAATAATTAGCGAGGGACAGCTAAAATAAAATATCCCCCAACAAATTAAGGGACTTCACAAAGTCCTTCTGTCGGCAAAGAGAAGGTTTCCGTAATCCTATACAGATTGATTCCAAAATCTTCAAATGATTGTTGGAACCAGCTATGGGAATAATTTTGAACCACTCTTTCGTATACGACTTGGCACAGGCTATATTCTCTACTAGGTGTTGAGCAATAGCCGATTCCATATTTGTCGAGGGAAGATAACATATTTTATCTATTTTATCATGTCGTATTTTAGAAGGCATATGTTGATTAATTCTCAATATATATAATTTAATTACAAAATTAAATTTGAAGCTTTTAGCTTCCATTTTTGAAACATGGTTAGAACTGTGTAGCGAAAAAAAATCATATTTTAAATCAATTAATTTATAATATAATGCTCTGTAAATTTACATTGAACACTATTTTGTAAAAATAAAAATATCTATAAGAACACCGGATTATATATCTTACTGTTCTTTATATATATATATATATATATATATATATATATATATATATATTATTAGTGTGTGTGGGTGATAAAAATAGTGTTTTTTAGCATATGGGTTAAAGTTCTCAAAATCAGCGATAAAGCGTATGTAATTATAAACGTGGACATTGAGGTCAACACCCATTCCAGAAGATCGCATTTAAGCATGAAGGTGTTAGGTCACCGTTAGGTGTTGACCTCAATTTCCACTATGATATATATATATATATATATATATATATATATATTTTAATTTTATATTTATCTTTAATTTAATTAATCCGTTGCTATTGTTAATTTTCTGCCTGATCCCTTTTTGTTTTGAGCCGAGTCTCTTAAGAAAAAGAATTATTCACTCATATCCTTGATCTGGTGCGAGTTAAAGAATTTTTGTTTTTTAATTTGTCTTGATATGCCTCTATGTGAACGGGTAAATTCACACTTTTTGCCCTCGCTATTTTACCTCCTTCCTTCACCCACACTCACTGGCCATACGCTTGGGAGGGTAATAGGGCGTAAGCTGATAAATAATTGCACTTCTTAATAGGTACCGACCTACTAATAGTCGCGTTTTTTTTTTTTTTTTTTTTTTTTTTGGGGGTCATATTTAAGAGGCAAACCTCCTGACGAGTGGACAAAAATGTGGTCTACAAAACTCCAGAGATGTGGGGAGGGGGCTGAATATGACATCAGTCTGGTAAATGACAAATTTTAATTCTGTTAATCCTATTAAAATTTAAATAAGTAATTAAAATTTATAAAGGAACAAATGTTAAATTATCAACTCTATCCCTATTTAAATTTCATACGCTTCAATCGCACCTGCTCCCACCAAACTCCATTTTTTTTCTTTTTTATCCCCCTTTTTTTTTTTCAAAAGGAGTTAATAGATTCGCCTATCTCCCGTTTCGCACTCCCTCCATTCAGGGGTCGTAGCGGAGACAAATGTTTTGGTGGGGGCCAAAATATATTCAGAATTTAACCATAAGTTATTAAAAACTGGCAACATGGTTAGCAGCAAGAACATTTCAAATTTCCAGTACCCCCCTTTGCTTTGATAGTTTTTTTTTGTTTTTTTTTCTTGCATTTCTTTCTTTATATATTTTGTTAAAATTAAACCCTGTAAAAAATGCAATAATTGGTAAAAAAAAATTGGGGGTTGGAAACCAATATATATATATATATATATATATATATATATATGACATGTATTTTTATAACTTCAAAGTTCCCAAGAAAATTAAATTTCGCCATTAAATGACCCATAAAGTGTTGATATGCCGTTAAACAAACAAAAAACATATTGAAGGCAAAAAAGCAAGGAAGAATTAATGTGTTTTGTGTGAATCGTTGGCAGAAGGGGGATAATGGGGAATAGTAAATGGTAAAAAAAATAATTGGAATAATAAAAGACAGGAAGTTGTGGAGAACCCTGATTTCCGCGTTCTGAAATATAATTATTATATTACCATGAAAAATACACGGTGTATGTTCAAATTTTTCTGAACAACTTTTTTTTAATCATTTCACTCCCAAGCAAAGCGACAGCGCCACTTGGACGCAAGGGTGGGGGGGTGAAAGTGAATGGGATGATTAAAAATGGGGTGTGAGGGAGGTTAAAAAAAGAAACACGCTTCAAGAGGACAGAAGATGACGACTGAAGTTGCATTTAAATTTTTGAAGATAGTTATCAGGCAAGCAAGAAATCGGAAGGGAGTTCCACAGGTGGGAAGAGAAATCGGAAGGGAGTTCTACGGGTGGGAAGAGAAATCGGAAGGTAGTTCCACAGGTGGGAAGAGAAATCGGAAGGGAGTTCCACGGGTGAGAAGAGAAATCGGAAGGGAGTCCCACAGATGGGAAAAAACTGTTAAGAGTAGAAATAACGAATGCATTTAGCTAGTCCGTCATAAAGTAAATTACCATTAAGTTAATCGAACCTATTCTGGCACAAGATAACAACAGTCGTTCTTGTTGCTCAAGCGTACTCATTAGTCTATTTCGCTCTACGGGAGGCGCCAAAATGTTTGTTCCAATTAAAGGTTATTTCTTTCCGCTTCGATCTGGTGTGAGGTCACCGACGAGACGCAATAGCAACGTCTCAGATTTTCCAATTAACGATTATATTTTCACAGCAACGAAGGGTGGGGACAAGATGATGAATTGGGGAACGGTGGGAAAGGATAGAGTGACGGAAGATTTCGGGCGATGCAGTCAAGAAAAGAATAGGAGGGCGAGGAGGGCGCAGAGGGCTAGGAGGGCGGGGAGGGCGAGAAAGGAGAAGCGATGAAAACGAAAGACAAGTTATCAATGACAAGAAAGAGTTTTCGAAGCGAGTTCACAAGTAAACAAAATTATAAATTGCACCTCCTTGTATTAGTTTAATTGGACCCCGTCAAGGTTGACAATGAGTGTTTTGCCCTGCGACTCGCTTACCCACTCCGACATCTATCAAGAGTTCAGTGCGAAACATTTCCGCCCTTCTGCAACATTTCCACGCAAAATTTTCATTTCTGCCATCAAAGGCTTAAGATTGAAACACCGGTTCTCGTAAAATCACCGAAGTTAAGCAACGTCGAGCCTGATCAGTACCTAGCTTGGTGACTGCTTGGGAATATCAGTGCTGTAACGTTGGGTGTGCGTGTCGTGTAATGACGCGATAAAAGCTCAGAAGTGGAAATCAGGAGCCAAGTTCGAATTCCGGTCAGGTTTCTTATATTAACTTACCCGCAAATAGCCTTGTGAAAGGTATCTTGCCACCCCTACTCCCTTTAGCTATGGGTTAATTAGTAGGACCTGAATCACTAAATCAACATTATCTCCAAAAGAATTCTTCTAGTCTAAAAATATTTTCTGGTTTTAAATAACCTGCAATTGGTTGATAAGCCGTAAAAAACAAATCAATGAATCATTTCTGCCATCAAGCTTGCTGTGGCACCTTGCATTATTAGAAATATTCATAGAAATATGATTTAATTTTTTCTTACTCGGTTACTAAACAGGTTGTTAATTTTTTTTTTAAACGGAAAATAACTGAGTTGAAAATAATTCACTAAGAGTGTACTAGACGATCCTAAGGAAAGAAGAAGGAAAGAAAGGAAAAAGGAAGGAAGGGAAGAAAAAAAAAAAAAAGAAATGTATGACGCATGACCCAATTGAGGGTGGAGATAGGAGTCAGAAAGAGATTTAGGTCAGCGTCTTGGCCGATTTTCGAAAGTCATTTTGATAAGAATGTCGGTCAAAGCACCTAGCCTACTTTTGCATGGAAAGACACCTTATCAATTTGGATAAAGAGAAATTTTAGGAACAATGAAACAATTTTAATCAGAGAAAAAAGTGTCTTTGGGTTGAGGGGAGTGACCGGTGGAACGATATACAGACCTGTTAAGAATTGGACACCCACGTTAATAAAGTAGAGACATTTCAATGTAGATAATTAAGATTTTCGACTATCAGGTAAAACAAAAGAGGTAAAAAAGGGACAATTGCTTTTGGCTCACAGAGGGCGCCAAGAAGGCGGAAAAGATCCTTTCTAAAGTCAAGACTAATTAGCAGCGGGCTGTTTGACAAAGTCCAGGTGAGAGAAAGCCAAAGATTGTCATTTGCGTACGTGCAAAAAGGGCAAAATTGGATTTTGTTTTTTTTTAAACAAGAACGATGTAACCACGCCCGCAAACAGAGGGGGAGAGGATGTTCGATCAATAACAATTGGTCGAATACGATCACGTGACCTGCGGAAGAAAAGGGAAAGAAATGTTTGATCAATAACAATTGGTCGAATACGATCACGTGACCTGCGGAAGAAAAGGGAAAGAAATGCTCGATCAGGAACGATTGGTTGAAAAGCGGTCACCTGACATACGAGAGACTAAGAGAGATGGATGTGCGCCGCCCCACCAAAGGTACTGCGAGGAAGTAGGGGCGAAAACAATAGCGATAATGGAGAAGACAGAATTAATGCAGTTTTTTGGAATTATCGAGAAAACCCTGACGCCGACAGACCCACCCCAGTTTGTTGCGGCGTCAATATAAGCAGGACCCCAGTCGACAGAAATCAGTTGAGTTGGAGTTGCAGTTGAGAGTTGGACCGCGGGCAGGGATAGAGCCTGAACGCGGCCATCAGGCCCGATTCACTCGCCCCTTTGCGGGCAGAAGAATCCTCAGACAAGAAATCCTTCCAGCCCAAGTCAGACAAGAAGAACTTCCAGCCCAAGTAGATGAAGAAGAAGATTGCCTGAAAGCCTGAGAAGAATTGGAGATGCAGACAAGCCGAAAGTCGATGAGAGGTTAAAGTTCATCCCCGGACGGCAGCGAGAAAAGAACCCTCAGACAAGAAGAACTTCCAGCCCAAGTAGACGAAGAAGAAGAAATACAACTCAAGTCGGAGAGAAGAATCAACTGCGAATGATCGATAGAAATTAGCCCCAGTGTCGAACTGAACCACACTCCGACATACATACATGATTCTAGAAAGTAGGTAATTCGACATTTTCTATTGTGTGATAGAAGCTTGGTGCCATAGTCCACAGAGCGGGTCGGGAATTGAGAACAATTTTGTTTTTATGTAACGGACTTTAAGATATAAAGGTTGTTACCCTTTTTATCAACAATTTTGTTTGGTGTCGTGAGTTTTTATTTTATTTGTGTTTTGCCACCCCGTCGGACTCAACTTGTATCGGCCCCGATCCCTGCTGGTCCCGTCTGTCTAAGATCTAAACACAGCGTGGGTAGACAGACCGGAGATCGGTATAGTTGCTTTAGTGACCAGGTATTGGAAGCGAGTCGGGAAAGGCGAGGCTGGTGATCATCTGACCAAAGGGTTGGGCGGCACGCTTGGACCCAGGAGGAGCGACCAGGAGGAGCGACGTCACCGTTGGCGCCGTAACCAAAGGATCCGACACTGGGCCAGGTGTGTAACCGTCACATTGCTATCTTCTGATGATGACAATATGCGTAACTTGGGAGTTGTTTTGTTTTTTTCATTTTGTCATTCAATTACCCAATATTAGTTTTATATATAGATTCATATACGTGTAAAATTTCAGATATAACTAAAATATCTATTTAAGACATTTTTCTATGAAAATTTCTCGGACATTCGGGCCGGTAAATGTTATTAATACTGTTTATTATAAACAGACCATTTACTTAAATATTTGTATCTATAAAAACAACGTATAAACATAAAAAATGTCTTAAATCATTGTCGGACTTTGTCTATTTCTTAATGTATGACGACATTTTTTACATTTCAATACGCATTGAACAGATATGAATTAATGAATCAGAGAAAATCATGGAGAATTGTGTTTAAAAACAGTAAAATCGACCTTGCTAACCAGACGCTCCTCTGTGGCCCAATCGGTTAAGGCACGTCAGGCTATATGACAGTTCCGTATAGGATACAGGTTCGATTCCTGTCGGAGGACGAATATTTTCTATGAAAATTTCTCGGGCATTCAGGCCGGTAAATGTTGTTAATACTGTTTATTATAAAACAGAGCATTTACTTAAATGACTGTATCTATAAAAAGAATGTATAAACATAAAAATGTCTTAAAATAATTGTCAGACTTTGTCCTTTTCGTAAAATATCTATATATAAAATTATGTAACTTACGTTAGTCCGTCACACCCTCTAAAATAACCATATATTGATCTATCGAAACCAAATTTGGGGGAGAGGTGCAAACAGATAAGGGGGTACAAAGTACACTTTGTTTTACTTGGGTGTGTAGCTTAATACGATAAATTTTCATTCATTTTTTTGGAAAAAAAATTGGGGGTGGGGAACGAAACGTAAAGTTTATAAATCTTGACAAAAATGTTAACAATAACTTCAACAATATTAAATATTGTGAGGATTTCTAAGTCAGCGTGTCACAAAAAATTTTAGTATCTGTAAAAGGACAATATGAATAAATTATATTTATTCATTCACACACACACACACACACACACACACATATATATATATATATATATATATATATATGCGGAATCGTCATTTGATCTGACGTGGTATACTACTTATCTATAGGGAAGCATCTGGTTAGTAAAGTCCAAATTAATGTTTTTAAACACAATCTTCGACGATTTTTCTCGATAAATTGTATCTATTAAAATAACGTATAAACAGAAAATATATTAAATAATTGTCGGACTTGTTGTCCATTTCATTATATGTCATTGTTTACGTTAAGATGCGTTTCGTGAGCAGATATATGATCGATCGACAAAAATCTCTCTCTCTCTCTCTCTCACACACACACACACACACACACACACACACACACACACATTTCTGCGTAGACGATCCATGTATTTATTAAACAGTATATTCATTTATACTCAATAGCGAATGAGTCGAAACGGACGTCCAGTGCTTTTCTACATTCTGTTGACTTTTCTAGGTCTATGGTAAATATATATATATATATATATATATATATATATATATATATATATATTTCCTCAGAGTAGGTGATTTGCTGTGGTGTGCAGTAATATGTATGATGAAATTTGTTTGACCTTGAATAATATTGCGTCATCCGGGATTGCATCAGATTTTCATCACGCCCAGACACTATTGTCCCGACTGTTGATTAGTTGTCCTACGACTATTGTCTGCGATGAGAGTTACTCCAAGGAAGCGTACGAAAATTGTAACGCTGCACAAACACTGGCAAGCCTTACCAGTGAGAAAATCAATGTACTATCGACTGGCCCGGAAAGTCTCCTGATTTAAATCAAATTGAGAATCTGTGATCAGTCTACAACGAATGATTTCATGGAATGGACATATGAAGTACCAACATGTGCAGTGGGCCATGTTTCAATGGAAAAATACGAAAAAAAAGTAAATAATATCGGAATTATTCGTTTTGTTTCAATTAATTTGTACAAGGGTGTACGTGATCATGGCCCTCCCCATCTTCCTGTATAATTAATTTGTACAAGGGTGTAATCTCTACTGTTTTTAACAACAACTGTCTCTCATCTTTCTACAAGCTGGTTGACGCCATTCTTTTCGTAGAAACTTCGTGTTTTGTTTTGTTGGAAGAATGTTGAGAGGTACTTTTTGTCGTTTAAATTGTTCTGTAGAGAGAGGAACAAATCAAAATCCGAAGGAACTATGTCAGGAAAATACGCTGCATGCTAGAAGGGGTTTTCACATTTCAACTCTTTAAGCTTCTGCAAAGACTGTTTGCAACATGCAGTCTTGCGTTGTCTTAGTGGAAAATGACACCATTTAAATTTAGAAAAATCGGCCATTTTTGTTGAATCCAAGTCTCTTCAAATGGCAAAAGGCACTTGAGATATCGATTTTCACACTCTTAAAAATATCTTCCATTGAAATCTTCGTTTTATTCGGCATGATGGCAGGCAGAGTGACTTCATCGACGTTGGAAGGTCGCCCAGCGTGTATTTGATCGCTTAGGTTAAAATCACACTATTTGACTTTTCGTAGAGCTGAAGCCTGATCTAAATAAACCTTCTGAATGTCGCAATTCTGACGCTTACTCCTTTCCAAAATTCAAAGAGCATAATATGGCGAAAGTGTAACTTTTCGTTCTCCATCTTCAAAGCATTCATTTGTGGATAAAAAATGTCAATATTTATTCTGA